AGTTTCCTTCGTTCGTCGACGATCGATATCCACGCCGCGCCGGCGTTCATTTCAGAATTTTGCATCGAGTATGCTTCGCGCCGATGTTAAGATTTTAGTTCAACATGTTTTTGCTTTTATATGGAAAAGAAGTGGGTCGACCCGAACTCTCAGATTGTGTTGCAGCTTATCTCGAAGAATGCAAACGGGGACAAATTATTATGATCGCTGGTAACGTTCAGAACCATTCTATGTTCGAGGGTTAATATTTTGCTAATTGTATCGCACCTCCTTTCGCCTCGATGTTCATATTGTCCAATATGTTTTTACAGACAATGATTTCGATACGATCGTTTTCACGTTCACGATCCACATTTGAAGCGAGTCTATATATATATAACGGAACAAATAGAAACATTCGATGCTTCATAATATACTGCCATGGCCTAGAAACAGTTCTGACATGAATCCTACAGAAAATGAGCGGTTATTGAAGGTCGGACACTGCGACAAAAATCAGCTACCAAATTCAGATGCTTATTGAGACAAAATTTTAAAAAATTATACTTTTACGTAAAAAGAAAACAATTCTCTTTGTCAAAGGACAATGTTAAGTCATAGAGGGGTTTACTGACCCAAAAGCGTACAGCATATGCTATACACCGTTGGAAAGGTCTCGCCAATGCGAATCGACTGATACCATTTTTAACTTCGATATCAGATGGGATAATGTCGAAAAATGGCCTCAATGTTCGAGATTTTGCGGTTTTGAACAAAAGAAACCGGTAGTAAAAGCCCATCCGACCCGAGGGACCTCGGGTAGGCACCTGAGGAAAAACCGAGGGGTGTAAGCGATACTCTAGCAGATTGGGACGGCAAATGTGCTCCACCACATTCATTTCAGTGCCGTGTTGGGCCTGCGTTTGCCGCATGGGCCCCGTTCCAAATGCCCAGGGCGAAATCGCCAATGGATCAGTTGTTTTTCATGAACATAATATATTCATGGTAGACAATTCGCAGGTATAAGTTGGGAATGTGCAGGTTAGTATTCAGACTAATGCGTCACTTACAATAGTGAATGGAGTGACATTTTATTGATTGAACGAAACATAATGATGTAAATACTGAATACTAAACCTGCACATTCCCAACTCATACCTGCGAATCGTGTATCATGAATATATTATGTTCATGAAAAACAACTGATCCATTGGCGATTTCGCCCTGGGCATTTGGAACGGGGCCCATGCGGCAAACGCAGGCCCAACACGGCACTGAAATGAAGGTGGTGGGGCACATTTGCCGACCCAATCTGCTAGAGTATCGCTTACACCCCTCGGTTTTTCCTCAGGTGCTTACCCGAGGTCCCTCGGGTCGGATGGGCTTTTACTACCGGTTTCTTTTGTTCAAAACCGCAAAATCTCGAACTTTGAGGCCATTTTTCGACATTATCCCATCTGATATCGAAGTTAAAAATGGTATCAGTCGATTCGCCTTGGCGAGACCTTTCCAACGGTGTATAGCATATGCTGTACGCTCTTGGGTCAGTAAACCCCTCTATGACTTAACATTGTCCTTTGAGAAGCAGTAATTTGATCCCAATGTCTATAACCTTATTATCCCTTAGAGGATGTCCAGGACATTTCAGCTAAATGAAGCTTCATTTTAAAATTATTAAGAAAAAATAAATGTTCATTATTAAGTACACGTAACTTGCGAGAAAAAAATGGTTCTAAAATATAATTGAAAAAACTCAATTATTTCACATTATTCGGTTTAAAGTAAATCTCACTAACATCATAAACTAAAAGAAATGCAAACTATTCAGCTTAGAATTCAATAATACAAAATTCGTTTAGATATTCGATGCGAAGATATCGTTCCACTTCTTCAGATACACGATATAAATGTCAACGAAGAAAACTGCATTTCTATATTGCACGATGCGCAAGATAGGTGGGTGTTCACTCTTTTCTTGCGCCAAACACGTACAGGGTGTCCCGTTTCAACCAATGCAATGGAATTTCTCCGGAACTATACGAGTCATCGAAATCCTGTTTCAACTGGATCGTATGGCATCGAGGAGGATATAATTTGTTAAAGTAAAACGTTTAACCTTGGATAAAGGCATCAAGGTCAAACGAAGGTTAACTTATCTTTTAAAATTGCAATCTAATTTTTTGAACGCTCAAAAAGCTAAGCACATCGAAAGTGGAACAACCAAATGCGAGTTTTAACAATATACATATGTACATAAGAAAACAATAACAAAGTTCGTATAAATGTGTGTTCTATTTGACCTTGTTTTCAAGTTATAGCCAGTTCTGTGTTGGAATAATTCTTTTGAAAAATAAGGATGGTTGAACTAATTTCATTCAATTACCTTGTATTTTTATCTTGTAAATACTTCCTGTGAACATTAATTAGAATACTAAGTGTCAGATTATTGAATTACGTCGTGTGTGAAAATGGGAAGTTTGTCTAATCAACAAATGACAGATATAAATCTTGAGTCTGGACTTATTATTATAAATAATACCTTGACAAGCAGAGAAGGTAGAACAGCCAATGGTATGACGTCTCCAGACTTGTGGTTAGATGTTAGGTGGACATTTTGCAGAAGATAAATAGGTAGAACGTTTTCAAGAAGAAACTTGCTACAACTTAAAAACAGAGCCAAATAGGACACATGTTGATACAAACTTTTGTTATTATTTTCTTGTGTAGAGTCTATCTCTGAAGTGATGATCCCACATGCTACGAGACACCTTATATACAGTGATTATGTACTCATTTTTTAACTGACCCTGCTAAGCTATACACGACGAATTGCACGATTAGAATAGGGAAGGTCCACGTAAAATTAAAAAAAAAATTAAATAAATAGGCATCTTCATAATTAAACGAGTTAGTATTGGAATTACTTAATGCTCGCTATTGTAGACCATTATCACGCATGATTTGCGAGTAAACATGAAGCTTTCCGACTGATATTTTGTCCACATATTCTCTGGGGAATATCGGGCAAATAACGGTATGGCTTTTATGGTCCAATTATTTGTTTTCGAAATAACGGAGAAAATTCATTTTTCAAATTTATTGTTACACAATTTCAATTCAATGTCGAAAATTGCATAAAAGAACAGATTTTTTAAACTTTGTCTAAATAACTAATTTCGTCGCAGTCCTTTTTTGAAGCTAGTATTTATGAATAAGGGTTTTATTATGAAATAAATGTAGGATTTAAAAATAAAAAACTTTCGCTTACACGGTAACTATGTCTACAATAGATATAAAAGAAAATACTATGTATGAAATTTCTAATTATATAATATTAATTTAATAAAAAATGGTACCGACTATGCTTTCTAAACTGATAAGAAATATGCCTAGAATGTTTAATTAACACTGTAATCAATATACCCAAAATATTGATTCTACTTTTATAATGTATATTTACGAAATACTAACCTATTTTATAAATATAAAGGACAATGTTAAGTCATAGAGGGGTTTACTGACCCAAGAGCGTACAGCATATGCTATACACCGTTGGAAAGGTCTCGCCAATGCGAATCGACTGATACCATTTTTAACTTCGATATCAGATGGGATAATGTCGAAAAATGGCCTCAAAGTTCGAGATTTTGCGGTTTTGAACAAAAGAAACCGGTAGTAAAAGCCCATCCGACCCGAGGGACCTCGGGTAGGCACCTGAGGAAAAACCGAGGGGTGTAAGCGATACTCTAGCAGATTGGGACGGCAAATGTGCCCCACCACCTTCATTTCAGTGCCGTGTTGGGCCTGCGTTTGCCGCATGGGCCCCGTTCCAAATGCCCAGGGCGAAATCGCCAATGGATCAGTTGTTTTTCATGAACATAATATATTCATGATAGACGATTCGCAGGTATGACTTGGGAATGTGCAGGTTAGTATTCAGACTAATGCGTCACTTACAATAGTGAATGGAGTGACATTTTATTGATTGAACGAAACATAATGATGTGAATACTGAATACTAACCTGCACATTCCCAACTCATACCTGCAAATCGTCTATCATGAATATATTATGTTCATGAAAAACAACTGATCCATTGGCGATTTCGCCCTGGGCATTTGGAACGGGGCCCATGCGGCAAACGCAGGCCCAACACGGCACTGAAATGAAGGTGGTGGGGCACATTTGCCGTCCCAATCTGCTAGAGTATCGCTTACACCCCTCGGTTTTTCCTCAGGTGCCTACCCGAGGTCCCTCGGGTCGGATGGGCTTTTACTACCGGTTTCTTTTGTTCAAAACCGCAAAATCTCGAACTTTGAGGCCATTTTTCGACATTATCCCATCTGATATCGAAGTTAAAAATGGTATCAGTCGATTCGCATTGGCGAGACCTTTCCAACGGTGTATAGCATATGCTGTACGCTCTTGGGTCAGTAAACCCCTCTATGACTTAACATTGTCCTTTCTTCACGATCACATTAATTTGATCACGCCTATATCCTCACTCGCACAACTCGTGTTTTTCTTGTGTACTTCGAATTATATCAGATATTCAAAACTTTGGACTAACGCAACTTGTTTTTGTCGCAGATACTCGAGAATTGTTTCTACGAGCTAAAGTTCTTTCCCCTTAAACTTAAAGTCAGCTATATTTAGTTAGTTGCAAACCAAAACTTCGTCGTGAACCTGATATACTCTACCCTCGCAAAGCTCGTAAATAAAATAAGGTGATACGTATCTAGAAACTTTCCAATAGATGACTATCAACCTTCATAACTTCGATTACAATTCGATAAACGAAACGCCTCGTTGTCGATCGTTATATTGAATAGTACCACCGTTGACATCACTGGCTTCCGTTTAATTACGAGCCAAGGCGTCAGAAATCATGCACTTTTTCCGAAAAAAAAAGTAACACGAGTGCAAATGGCATTACGGACTATTTATCAAGTACCGTGGCTTCAACCGTGATTCGATAAGCGAAGTTTCAGAGCATGTTTAAGGAAAGTTTCAAGACTCACCAGTTCTCAGAAGCGTCCTCGTCGAGGATGGTCCCGTCAGCAAGTCGATGAGGTAAGTTGGTCGTGTTTCTCGGTCGATTCCTGACCCTCGGTGGACCAACGACACCGGTCCTGGAGAGGCCAGCACGAAATGACGCCCTTGCCCAGTCGACTGCTCGAGTCAACGTCATTGAATCTTATTAGTGATTGTTAGTAAAAACTGCTAACTATACACCAGAGAAAATATATTGCGGAAATTTACCGTATCTTCGATCACAGGTTGCCCGTTTCTCGCAGAAAGCAGTCATCTTCGTGGAATCAATTTGAATTTCACGCTAGAAAGCAAACATCTACTTTCGCGACATCGAAGAATAATTTTCGATTCTCGTCAGACTTTTTTAATTTTTCTGTTTGACCACATTCTCGAGTTCGTTGCATTTTACATCGTGTAACGTTCCGCGAGTAACTTTTCGTGTGCCACCGTGGCATTCTATACGTGTGACTTTACGCAATATATTTTTCTCGACGAGCAGGGGACTTGGAATGAGTTACACGTAAACGAAGTTAGTCACCGGTTGAATTAAACAAACTTTCGCCGGTGTGCAGGAAAATTGGAACATGAATCGCGTTGCGTCTGAACACTTGGGAGCACGAGGACACGGACGACGATTTTGTTCGGGAAATTGTCGCTTTGGGTATGCGGAATATGAATAAAAAATGTCCAAGATAAAAAGCGTAGAGATACGATTTAAGAAACGCCGATTTCTGTTGACATCTTATACGGAAGTCACCGTGACATTTTTTATTTATTATCGTACGGACGATTGAATCGTTGGCACGTGAATTCGACGATTCCGTACGATCGTGGTAAAGTTCTTTGATTTTGCGCCAAACCCGAGTTGTTGAACTTGGAGCGCGAGAATACAATGTCGTTGATTTTGGGGCCTGGCAACGAGGTACGTACTGGCAAGAGTTGAAAAAGAGAAATCGACGATGACGAATGTAGTGGAATTCTGTGACCGAAATTTCATGAAATTTTGCCCGATTTAAAGTAGGAAATATAATCTAATTCCGTGAATACAATAAGTATTGATTTCAGTAATAGAGATACGCAACTATAGATAGTATACAGGATGATTCGAGAAACTGGGACAAGCTGTTGCCCATTTCCAAACATGGATATAAATGATACAGGAAAAACTTGAATCCCGTAATGGAGACCATCTTTTCATGGCACAATCTGTTGTTTCGCGATGTGCATTTGCACTTATTCTTTAAATGGAACCATTTCTTTTTTGTTGGCATAAATCGATTCTTCTCGCCGTTCTACATATAAAAGTATTAAAGCATGGCCATTGGAAACGTAATACTTTGGCAGATATTTCATATTTCACTTCTGAACGTTACTTTATTCCAATAAGTATTCAATCGGATTATCATTTTTTCATTTCTTTCACATTTCTCGTTACACTGTCATGTATATAATTGAGTTTAATCTTTACTTCATCGATTTAACCAGAAATCTGCGAAATATACTGTATTATTTTTAAATCACTAATCGTAGAAAGGATGGGTTATCATGCTAGCTTGTTTTAAAAGATAAGACATGTTGGGCAGCTTTATATTTAAATCAATGTTATAAAGAATAGAATTAAAACTAATTACAAGTATACAACTACTACATTTGTAAATATAATGTAAGGAAATGACTAATAAAATGTTTAAATATTTATAGCGACCTCCTTTGAATATCGATTGGAGTAAAGAAGTTTCCTAACATAAAACATGAAATATTGCGTAAAGTATCACGAGAACTTTTTAACGATCATACCTTAATATTTTGATATGCAGACTATTGAAAAGAATCGACTTAAGTGAGCAAAGATGTATGGTAAGTGCAAGTAGCGAAAACAAAAATGATATTGTTAGAAACTAGTCTATACCGAGTAATTCAACTTCGTCCGGCATCAATTTGTGGTATTATCGCTTAGAAAAAAGCTATAGCTTGCTCCAGTTTCAAGAATCACCCTATAATAGGACTGCATTGGAGGGGATGCAAATTGCGCATAAAACGAACTTATAATGATGAAAATCGTTGAAAACAAAGATTAATAAAAAGACACAAGATGCGCGATATCGGTGCTTGAAAATGATGATAGTAATTCTCTTTAGTGCGCGCCATCATCGATCGTTATTAAATATCGAAAGAACCAGGGCTTCGTCCTGCACGGTGTCCATCGAAATAGCATTTCCTTAGCAATCGAAGCCTGAAAATTGATTGGATCGTGTCTCCGAATTCTCCTTCTAACAGGACACGCCGAGAGGTCGAGGATGGTTTCTCTCGATATCGTCGTAGCCGGTCGTTGTGACGCCGAGAGAGAAAAAGGAGGCTGAAATGAATCTTACTCGTAAATAGAACGATGAACCAATGAAACGAGAGGAGCAAAATTTTCATGAAAAAATCAAAACTTATATTAACTCTGCACAGACATACTGTTGTAGAATTAGATAATCTATGTCCAATGATTTGTCACTGTAACATTCATCGACAGTCTTTGTATGTGAACATTTTTAAATTCAACTCAATTATGAAGGATTAATAAGTTGAATATTTCATTTGAAAAATTGAGGATGACCTTGATAACTAAAAGAATAAGATAACAAAAAAGGCATTCATACATTTAGGCCTTAATACAATGTAACTTTTATACGAAAACGTTTTATATAATAGTTGATTTTACAGTAATAGATAAGGTAGTATATTTAAGTGATTCACCCTTACGTGTGAAGAGACGTTTTTGTGCATAAATTAGATTGGATAATTTTGAACTTGATTTTATAAAATGAACAAACGATACAACAAAATTCAAAATTTTTGTTAATTGTGAGTAATATTTTAGTTTGGTTCGATTAAAAACGAACTGGGACATCTAAACAGGTTACCTAAAAAAATACATCATATCAATATTGTTTGGTTCGGAGATATACCTAATATTATTTGCAAAACATTTTGTCAAAGTTATTTTTGGAATTACCAAGCCAATTTCATTTGTTCAAATGAAGTAATATGTTTTTTAACTTCTAATAAAGTGTGGTAATGGAAAACAATTTACTTCAAGAAACTGAACGATCACTTTATTGACAGGTTGTATACTGCATATTTATCTATATGTATCTATGAATATTATTATTAATCTGCGATATGTTATCAACCAAAATGCTTCGTACTGAACAGAAGAAAGTTAATACGATTTTCATTTATGGCGAATCTTGCCAAATTACAAAATAAGTAGTGCGTTTAAAATCCTCCACATTTTTATTTTCAAACATAATAGAAGATTTTTAAGAATGCAAAAGCGTAGATAAAAAAAGAACATTTTAGCAGCTGTAGCATAAAATCCACATGTCAGTTCAAGACCGTTTTAACGTAAGAGTGGCACCAATCGACGAAGTGTCTTGCAAATACTCCGTTCTATCCACATTTCAGCTTTTCAAGAATTACATTAAAATGAGTCTTAAAATTGTTTAGAATTTTACTATAGGACCTACAGAAATTGCAAAATGATAATGTGTTCTTGCCCAAAATTTTATTTACGAACGAAGCCACGTTCATAAAAATCATGGACAAGTTAGTCTTCGTAACATGCACTACTTGTCAACAGAAAATTCACAGAAAATAGATTTTAACGGAAATTTCGCTACAAGTGTTAGAACATACTCCATTATACATACAACAATTAATATCGTACCAGCAAGAAGAATATCCTGTTCACTGACCATTACAGAGCTTAAGATGAAGTTTAAAGACCACTGAACTAGTTGGTAAGGAAATCACGAATGGTCTCTATGTTCGCAGAATTTGACATCTTCGAGCTTTTGTATTTGAGAAAAACTGAAAAAAGTATACAGTGAGATACCAACGATCAGAGAAGACACAGAAGAGTGTATATGAAGAACAGTATAACCTATACAAAATCGCTTTAGATGATGCATCGTTATTGAAGATCGCCATTTTCAACAGTTGTATCAGTAGTGTATACATGGTGTTCGGCCACCCCTGGGAACCTCAAGGATTCTAATTTGTTGATTGAGGCTTCGTTAAAAAATTATAGAAACATTTCCGGTCACACAGTACATTTTCGGTAAAGAACTTTTCTCTCGAAAGTACGTAGGATTTCGGGGGTATGTCAATTCACCAAAAATGATTATATCTGACCCCCTAAAACGAAAATAATTTTCCCAGAACGATTTGAAATTTTTTAATTTTGTCGAATTTGTCCGCCTTCCTGAATTTTTTTCTCGAAAGTGAGTAGGATTTCATGATTGCAATTGAGCTCCACAACCGAAAATAATTTTTCCAGATCGCTTTGAAATTTTTTTTTCGTCGAAATATTTAGGCACCTACCCTCTGTCGATTTTTCTTCAAAATTCGTTTTTCATTTTTAGTAATTTTGTTTGACGCCCTATAGAAAAGTTGTCTAATACTTTTTTGTGGGTGCCCATGAGCTACTCATGAGCTCTACTTCAAAAAAAAGTTTCATAGAAATATATTCACTATTGTAGGAGTTATGACTGTTTGAAAATTGGACTATTTTCATGGGGTTTTTCTCACTTTACGGGGTCAAGGAACAACTTTTTCAATATTGTCAGAATTTCTACATATTTTCGACTAAAATACGCGTTATTTGCATTTTGAAACATTACAATCCTTCAATCCGTTCAGAAGTTACGACATTTTAAAGATACGCTTGTTTTCGAGTGACATTTCTGGCCAGAAATTATATTTTCTGTAAAGAATTTTGTTCTCGAAAGTATGTAGAATTTTGAGGGTATGTGTATTCACCAAAAATGATTGCAATTGACCTCTGCAACCAAAAATAACTTTTCTGTGAATGATTTGAAATTTTTTAATAACTTTTTAACGAAGCCTCAATCCACGAATTGATATATTTGATTTTCGTCTTATTTTGACCTCTAAAATTTCTCATTAAAATTTTTACCAAGGAGAGGGGGCGAACACCCTGTATATAGATAAATAACTCATTAAAGTGTTCGATTTCTTGATGTAAAATTATTTTTGTAGTGGACTTTCAATGACTTTTAACTTTGAAATCTTAAAAGAATGATCTTTGGAAAAATGTTTGCTAATCATAATAGACATATGTTCATACGATCCGAAGAAGATTAGTCTAATGC